AGAAATATGGCATTGTTCATTGAGAACCATTGTTCTCCATCACTAAAGAGCTCTGGACCAACAGAGTCATCAACAATGGTTGAGTAAAGTGCATCCACTAAAGGTTTGAAAGTTTCAGTCACTTTCTCTCTATCAGGCCAAAAGGTGTGATAACAGTAACTCACCAGCTGCTTGTTTTCTGACATTTTCTTTAGTGCCTTGAGTACAGTAACATATGCTGTCACTACTGGATCCTGAAGGAGAGCTTTGTTCCAGTCATTTTTCACTCCAGTTTCCCACAGACCTTTTCGGTTGCTTGTCACAGCAAATGTGCCATTTACATTGACAGGAAGACCCGTGTGAATGGGAAGAGGAAGGAAGCAAAAGGCCTGTCCAACAAGATCTGTTTGTAATGTGCTGAATTTTCCAGTTTCTGGATCATTTTGCAAGGGCACAGCAATCCCTCCAATGGGCAAAGAGAAACTGGCTTGCTTGTTTTTCTGAAGGGCCATTTTCAAGGACTCATCTGTCCCAAAGCAGTTGTACAGGAGCCAGAGCTGAACTTCATTTTCATTAGACTGCTGACTGGATATTTTCACAATGCTGAATTTACAGCAATTGATCACCTCTTTGCATTTACCATCAAGTTTCATCAGTGATTTCTCAGCATGACGTTGCTTGGACACACTGGTGTCATCAGGAATCTCCATTGCACTCACAGTGGTTTTGGACACAGAGAAGATGGTCTCTATTTCGTTTTCTCTTGGTGGAGTCGATCCATTGTGTGGGATATTTTGGAGGGATAACGTAATGATGTTCTTTAAAAAAAGCAGATGGGTTTGTGAATTCTTAGAAAAGAGATGTTGAAAATCCAAGATATTGTGTTTTTGATACACTTTTGGGTTTATTTCTGATTTGGCAGCCTCTTCTTGACTTCGGAAAGGTAGTTTGATCAGAGTGCCTGGATAGGGTTCAGGAGGACTTTTTCGGGTAAAATTACAGTCAAAAATGTTTTTATATGATCCAAACTGACCAGGAAAACAATGAAAGAGTCGCTGTTGAGAGAGATCCAGCTTGATTCCAGGATTTGTTTTGTGTTTGATATGCTTTGTGAGATGAGTAACATTTGGATCAAGTATGAGGAGAGTGTTGCCACTAAGGATGGAGGGGACATCTGTCACATGATACACAGTGTTGAATCCAAGTCCAAACTTTCCAATTTTTTCCACTTTGTTTTCCTTTGAGGCTGAGCCAACTCTGACAATATTTTTCCAATCCTCTGCTGTGAACTGCTCATTATTAAAAGCCCAAAGACAAGGTCCCTGACAAAGAGCCATGTCAGGGTCAATCAGGCTTTCGGGGGCATCTTTGTGTACTCTGAAATCCACCAAGAACTTGCAAACAGCTGCCCCAGCATCCTCTGCATTCTGGATGAGCTCTTTGAAGATGTCACTGTCTTCATCGTACTCTTTAAGAATATTTTTTATCCTCATTGTTATTGGTTCAGATTGTCCACACTGCTCTATTCCTATCTCCTCTGGATCAAGGATGTGGGTACTGAGAAAACGAATTTCCAGCCATTCAGCTGCTGCTTTTGGGATTTCCTCATGTATGACATAAATTTCCTCTTCTCTGCAGTTTAGTTCTTTTAGTCCATTTTTGCTTACATCACAGAAAAGAGCTGTTGATCGTGGTTTAAGGGTAAATTTTCCTCCCTCAGCAATGACTGGCACTGGGATGTCATCCTGAACTGTTTTCTTCTCTTTCCAGAGCCAGTTGAGAATTTCTATTGACACTTTGACCTCTGAGGAACTTGCAATCGGCTGTTGTCTTGCTTCAACATTTTGCTGGATGTTGTACAGAATGCCCAAAATTTCTTCATTAGAAAGTACTTTTCTCAGGCCAAACTTCTGAAGCAGCTTTTTGTATGGCAAAAATTCCTTCGGCATCTTCCCAATGTAAGAACTCAGATCTAGATTATTTGGGTATTCAAGAACCAGATCCTGGGGTGCAACAAACTGGTTGTGAGTCCATAGACAGCATGTCTCATTGTCCATCATTGTAACAAATACAGAGACATTGTCTTGCATGTGTTTGTAAATGCTGTGCAGCTGTCTTTTGAAGTCTACATCTGTGTCAGGATTAACCATTTCCAGTGCTTTTGATTTCAAGACTGACAGATTCTCAGTCACTTTTT